AATCTTGGGTGAGCAAGTTGGGTTTATAAGGCTTGGAGTGCAGAAGGCCACTGTCCACACCTGCTGAACCACAACACTGTGGCTCTTCTGTTACTAAAGCGAAGCAGCTGAGTTAAGATCTTGAGCGCAAACGGCATCTCCAGCCAAGACCATTTTGTACTCCAGCGAGAGGATTCGAGTTCTTTGAAGGCTAACCAGCTTTAGGACGGTTTGGGAGGCTGAAGTAGCTCGGCAGGTATTTATAATGTTGTCAGTGGTGCCTTTCCCCGTGTCCTATTCTTCTCCCCTGAGATCACCTAAAATGGTAAGAAGTTCTGAGTGGGATTAAGTCCATGAGTCCTGGGGAGGGGGTGTGGACATCTCGGTGGGCAGCCCGTCCCCCATATTAATAGCCTCCCTTAACTATACGCTGGCGATCAAAGAGGGAGACTTTCTTACCAGCTCAGCCCCCTTGTCTACCAGCAGACCAGGTGGCCTGCTTCTCTTTGCTAGATGGCTTACCACAGGCATTCAGGTACTGCATTGGGTTTGAATGAACTTTGTGCACGATCGCAGGCTTGCTTGCGCTTCCCTGTCTGACGGATATATTTGTATTATTTTCTTTCATGCTAAAGTTTCAAGGGCTTCCTCTACAGATCCATGAGGGCTTTCCAGCCGGGTGCGATCCATTTTAGGAGACCCATTTCTTTGGAAGGGGTTGCTAAGCAGTAGGTCTCCTCCTGGTCTGCATTTGGAGCTTTTAACCATGTCATCTGTGTGTGATGATGATCCTTATCCTTTGTCCTAGACGAAAGCGTAGTAAAAGCTCCAGAACTGCCCCAAACCTGGGAGCTATAGAAAAGGTGCTTCGGGGGGGGGGGGANCTGAGAGTTTTAGAACGCCTGATAGTCCATCCTGCAATTCAAGCATCTTCAAAGGTTCCTGGCATATTTGAAAAGACCCCAAGCTGTGATCTGAGCAAGGTGTTGCCGCTATGGGGCGAGGTGGACTGACCAGCTGACCTTGCACACGGCAGCTCTCTATCTAGGTCCTTGTGCTGAGATGGTCGCCCCCATTTTACAGACTGGGTAAACTGAAGGCGAGAGCAGGTGGGTGGATTTGGAGAGGGTTGTTGCTTTTTTTCTACTGGCAATCCTCTAAATATCACAGCCTCTCCTCTCTCGATGCAAACGAGCCATTGCGCACAAGAATAGGCGTGGAACACTTTGCATTCCAGATTCCGCAACCAGCATAATTTATGGGAATAATTTACGGGAGCAAATTACGGAAATGGAGCTTGGGGTGGGCTATGGAGGACTCTCTCCGAACAACTCTTAGGCTGACAAGAAAGTGCTGCCGTGTGACAACCTCACCCACTCCATTCCGAGCCAAATGTCTCCTCTTTGAGGACTTTGGAGTGGAATCAGTGGCCTCGGGGGTTTGTGGGGGTTCCAACCCTGGAGGCATTCAAGAAAAACTTGGATGATCCCCTGGGAGGTCTGCTTTGATTTGTTTTCCTGCCCTGAGCAGGGGGTTGGACTGGATGGCCTTGCAGCCCCCTTCCAACTTCACTTTTCTATGATTCCATGATTCTACGGCTAGAGGCTTGCTCTGATTTTTATTGTCGTTGTTTATTCTCGAAGCAAAAGCTGTGGTTCTCTGGAAACTTGAGTTTTTTTTAAACCAAATGTCTTGTTTTGTGCTTGTGCAGCGTCGTGGCACAGCCTGTGCAATGAGGTTAAGAAGTTTTGGTCTCAGGCCCAGCGGGCAAAAAAACTTTCCTCGATCTGTCTGGGGCAGAGGCACATTCTTTCATCGTTTGGGAACGGGGCCCGAATTCTGGCTCTCTTGGGAAACTGTCCGCTGATTCTCTGTCTCTCGGCTTTGTGTGTCAACACAGGCCTCAGCAATGTGACGGGTCAGCCAGAGAGCCAGCAGGGGTCAGTTCAGCTGTTTTGGCTGACCATCCTTCTTTCGAGAGCCTCCTGCATGCATCGATAAGAAAGGACACCGTGGCTTTGAACAGCTACCGTTAAAAGCTTCGACTCCTGTCGACGCAGGATTGCATGCTGATTATTTGGTGTTTCCGTTTTCTTCCCAAGAGTTTAAGACGACGGTCTCACAGGGAGATGGTCAGCTGGAGTATTCTGACATTGACTGAGGTTCTACTGTTTTTGTTTACGAACACCTACGTTGGTTTACAGACGCGACAGGAAACAACCAAAGAAACAGCAGTGGGAAACAAAACAATGGGACGTAGCAATATACAAAGTCTAGAACATTCACATCTCAGGGAGAATGGCAAAGAATCAATAAAGGGAAAAGGAAGAACTCTTTGTGGGGTGATGGTATGCCATCCATGAAGCTGGTGAGCTGATCTTTCCAGGAAGGCTGCTCCAAAACTGAGCCACCAGGAAGCGCTATACAAACCAAATCCTAGCAAATTCTAATTCCAACGCTGCCCGTAATATTAATAATCATGCACTGTTGAATCAGTTCTGACTCATAGCGACCCTTTTCAGGGTTTGCTAGGTGGAAAATCCCTTCCACTAGGGGCGCTGTGGGAGTGTGCAGCTGGCCCAAGGCTACCCAGGCTGGCTCTCCTAGGGAATCGAACTCCCAACCTTTTCCTAACTCGCTGAGCTATCCAGCCAGCCCAGCGCCGCCAGTCCTAGACTACGAGAGGAGTCTCTCCCATGAATCCTGGGGAGTTTGGGTCACCGGGTAAAAACAGCCTGCCACAGCGGTTTGGATTTCGGCAACAGCGAGACACGGGAACCCATGTGTGTCTCCTAGGAAATAATGTATTTATGGCTGACAAAGACCATGCTGACTCAGGATGATGGGAGAATTAATCTGACACGTCTGGAGGGCATCAGGGAAAAAGCTGCTCCGGTGCGGCTTAGTAGCCATGGTTGGCTTGTGCCACTAGCCGTCAGAGGGCCAAGCACTTCCTCCGGCATGCATTTGGTGGCACTGCAGGAGGTGAGATGGGGTCTCCTCTAGAGCCAGGATTAAGTTGCCTTCTTGCTTAGCTCAGACCACAGTCTCCTGTAAGCTCTCGACACTCACACCCCCCAGGCCCTCCGAAATGTGCCCCTTTGTTCAGAGGAGGGGGTTTCACAGTCTGGCGAAGGACAGTTTTGACCTGGTTTAGTAACAAAAAACTGGTCATCCAGACTCAACCCGTCACCTGTCTCTCGGTCTCTGTTTTCAGGTTTTGATGTCTGTGAGTCATTCAAGTGTTTAAAGCACATAAAAATGTTTTGAGTTGTGTGCTAGGTTATTTTAAGGCATCTTTACCCGTTGCGCCCGAGATCACTTGACAGAGAGGGCAGCTTAGATATTTTTATAAAAAAAATAAAAGATATTAATGAATGAAACCTGTTCTGGGCTGTCCCAGAGCCACCGCTTGGAACGGATTCTTTGAGGGGTGACATCTCCCCAAATTCACACTGCCTGAGGGATTATGGGAGTTGTAGTGAAAGGAAAACAAATTCTCCAGGGTCACTTCAGTTGACAGCAGTTCCCAGGCACTCCAGCCGGAAGTTTTTCCAGCCTTCCTCCGAACTTTGTAAGTGAGGATGTCAGAAACTGAACTCGGGGCTTTCTTTACGCTGGCGGCCTCCCTATTTTATAAAAGACAGTAACAATTGCAATAAACTGGGCAGGTGAGCCATGAATCGGAAGAGCCCTCGGTGGGCTGGGGGCCGTGCCAAGATGAACGGGCTTCTAGGATGACCCACATGCACTTCAGTTAGGTCTCGGGGATATCCATTCGCCCTCGAAACCAAGGTGTGATTTATTGAGGAGGCCAATTCCCTCCGGGTCTCTCTGTGGTCCTGAAAACAGGAGAGAAGCTCGTAGAGGCTAAAAGCAAGACAGGAGCACTCTCAAAGATGCCCTCCATATGAAGGGCTTCCTGTTCCAACTCTTGTTTAACAACAACAATAACAACAACAACAGAGACCAGGGTCTTTGAAGCTGGAGAACCGTTTTCTGGCTAGCCAGCACCCAGGCGGCCTTTCCTACTTGTGTGAGATGTTCGGCCATTTGGTTTAAATTATGAAACTCGTTTCTCGTTTCGCCTCCGTGCCAATGAATCAACCTATACAAGGTTAGGGCAACGAGCCTCCTCTTGGTCGCCCTGTGACCGGGAGGTGTCTGTGGTCTCGGGCTCGTTGCAGCCCTGGAGCCTCCTCTCCGGTCGCCCTGTGACCGGGAGGCGTCTGTGGTCTCGGGCTCGTTGCAGCCCTGGTTAGGTTCTTCCGTTCGCCTGTGGTTGCTCGGCCTGACGCCATCACTGCCAAGCTTTTGGGAAAGGTTTCTTACTTTTTCACGCACACGCACACGAACACATGCACAGAGCTACCACAGCCCTCTGCTTATCAGCTTCTCTCTCCGTTCCATTACCCGTTGCCAGGCCACCGTGGGCTTTAAATAGCATCCCAGAACTCCAGATAAACTAGTTCCTATGGCAAGTGACTCAGGAAAACAATGGGGTAATGTGGTTATATTTAGACGGGTGGGTGTGGGGGAGGAGAACAGGGCAGAAATAAGTTAGCAATTAACACATTTGTTTTTCTTAGCTCTCCCCAGCCGGCCGGGCGAGGGCCTCTGAGTTGGACTCCTTTGCTTGCTCCTTCTGGTCTTGGACGGTGTGACCCTCTAGTTTTGAAAGCTTAAGGCATGAGATGCCGTCAACACGTCATGGCGCCCGTTGGGCTCCCGTGATCCGACATTGCTTTAGCCGAACAAAGCCCAGCAAAGATCAGTGGCGAAAGCCACTCTGGCAAAGGAAGGGACGGCCAACCGCAGCCAAGTCCCTCGGTCCCCTCTCCGAGGTCCGGTCGTGATTGATGAGGTGGCGGCTGGCCGGCTAAATGGGAGACAGGTCAAGGTTAACATCACTGGACATTTTTGGCAAACGGGAGGGAAGACGGTGTTCCAGGCCTGGATGCAACATGTTACTCAGGGAGATTAAGAGCACAAACAGAGCGGTCTGCTCTGCAACTGCAGGAACATGTCAAGAAAAGAGTAGGGATGTGACCCCATTCCACCAGCAGCCCATTTTCTCATGACCCCGACTCTAACCTGGGCTCCAATCCTAACCCAGACCTAGCAGTTGGAATCCACTGTGTGCATTGCCAAAGTTTTTAGTGTGTATGAGTTACATCGATTCCCACTTTCCTTCCAAGGGGGTCAGGATCCAAGAGAATATGGTTCAACCTGTTGTTGTTCCAGTTGTTTTATCCCTGGATCCTAGAATGGTGTTCCTGAAGCCCCCATTGAACTCTAACCACTGGTTGCTTCACCCCTCTTGCTTCGCTTCTCCTGGGTTTGGGTTTCTAGACTCTTCACAGTCACCCTCCTCTGGGTCCTTAAAATTTAGCGGAAATAAAGAGCATCGGTCTTCTGATCTGGACAAGTTCTGCTATGGGTGGTTGGTTTTTCCCCCCCTCCAGCCTAAAGCTGGAAAGACGAACTCTGTCTTTCTTTTGAGGAGCTTCTGAAGGTTCACCCCGAGCAGCAACTGCGTCTTGGCCGTGTTTTGTGAGCTGGTCCTAAAAGGACTGTGACATTGAAAGAACACCCGGTTATCTGGCAAACCTAAAGAACAAAGGAAAGATGGGGATACGAACCAACCAAGTTCGTCCACAGAGGTGCATGCGCTGGCCCCCGGGGGCTGCATAGTTTGGATCTCTGCAGTGTGTTGACTTGACTGTGATGGCCTTGCCACTTGGGTGCAGGGCTGAATTCTGAAATTAATCTGAAACGACATCTTTCAAAACAGGAATTCGGAGGGAGGGTGGACCATGAAGTCCACTCAACTCTTTGGATTTTGTTTTAATGCAATGTTTCCTGTTTACTTCCTGAGGCTAATGGAAGGAGCTGTTTCCCTGTTGGCTTTGGGTGCAAGAGAAAACAGTTATCGATTGACTGAATTATTGTACTTGTGTAACACACTCTTCTAGTGGCCTTCGCCACGACAGTACTCTGGGCCGTTTCCTGCAGCAATAAAATAAAGCTAAAGAAAACAGCCAAACCCCACCCAATCCACAAATTTAAAATCTATAATATCAAAGGACAACAGGTCTGAAAATCAAGAGGGTGGCACCAGAGAAGGTAAAGATGACAGACTATAAGGGTGAAACAGAGATGTTCGTAGCTAAAATTTAGAGGTCCTTCCTGCAATCCCTGGTTTTTACAGCTTGTGGCACATAAGGGTAATATCATCTTTGTAGCATAAGGGGCACTTTTATAAGAATTTCCTTGCTCCACCAGGCCCCCAGTTGGGTGTCCAAAGCAAAAAAAGCAAAGTGTGCTACTTATATATCGCCCCTAGTGCTTAAAGCACTGTCTGGGTGGTAATTGCTACATAATATTTAATTATGCAGGCTATACGTTGCTCTCTCAGTGATCTCAAGCTCAGGCCATGAGCAGAATCTTCACTGCAGTACTGCAGTTTAAGCACTGTGTCACAGGACTCTATGGCGCAGCTGGCCTCCTAAGCTGTGTAAATCTGGGGCGTGCAAAGCACAGCCTACTAGGGCATCGGGAAGGGAGCCCTTACACCATCAGCCTTCTGCAACAGAATCCTGCCCGAAGCATTTTTCTGACAGAGATGCCAAAGGATAGAGTGACACAGCGCTACACCGACAGAAAATCATAGCCAGGGGCAACACTTACTTTTTCAATCAGAAATCCAGCCTCTGTGTGTGTGACTCCAGGCAAGGAAGGAAGGAAGGAAGAGGGGAAGGAAATTCTGTCATACGTTTATTCTTTTTCCTCTCCTCTTGTTCCAAAGGGCCTAGCAGTTACACGGTAGGCACCATGTCGGACCGCTTTGACTGCCATTACTGCCGCCAGCCCTTGCATGGGAAGAAGTACGTTGAAAAGGAGGGCCGCCACTGCTGCGTGAAGTGCTTTGAGAAGTTCTGCGCTAACACCTGTGCGGAGTGCCGGAAACCGATTGGAGCCGATACCAAGGTAAACGACGGGACAGGTTGGTCCAGAAAGGATGGGTTTGTTATAAAGAGCCGAGCCTGGTTTAGTTTATTCATAATATTTTTCATGGCTTTTCCTGGGCTCCCAAAGCTGAGTTCAGTAGGATCCCCGTATCCATGACGGATCAGTTCCGACCCTCCCCTGTGGATGCTGAAAAATACAAACACTCTTTTAATAGCAAAAGACCATAGATAGCCTGGTCTCTGGCTCTATCTAGTATGTGGCCAGTTCTGGTAATGTCATTCTCTCTATATAGAGAGAAAATGCAGTACATATATTTTTATACTTTTAATATTTTCAGATTGTGGATAAGTGAATCTGTGGATGTTGATCGCATGGATAAGAGTGTCCTACTGTATAATAATATTTTTTTAAGGTTAAAAGTTTCAAGAACCAGCAAGGTATGTGTGTATGATTTTGGCCATCGGCATGAAGCTCAACCAGGATGGAAATAGCCTGACTTCTGTCTGGAAGGAGTTTCCTCAAGGGACAGTTGGTACTCATGAGCAGAGAGGACTCTGCTGTTGTGGAAAAGTGTGTGGTTGTGCGTGGGCCGTGGCATGCAAATATTTCGCCCTCTCTGGCACAACTCAAGAAAACAAATTTGATTTCCATACAATTAGCCAAAAGAGTTTACTGTGTCCTTGGTGGGATCGTTGAGGACCAGAGAAAGCTCGGCTTGTCTGCTAGATGTGTCCTGGAAACTAGAGGGAGGGCTTAATATACTACAGTGTTAACATGCTTCGTTTTATTAATATCTTTGCCTGGTGCCGAACATGGGCAACCATGAACATAGGTACACCGAAAATGCTCAATTGGTGTAAATTTCAGGGGTGAATTGTTGCAGAGGAAGAAAGCAGCATCCAGGCTTGTTATTGCACACAGACTTGTGCGCCTCAGCGCACAACCACAAATGCCTGTGCTGCCTTCTGAAGATATGGCAATTCACCGCTGGGATTTATTCTGAGGTCCGCCAGCAAATGTAATTGGATCCTTCACTGCTGTTTTCTGGTCGTTCTCCTGCTGCAGTAAGACCCGATTAGCTTTGGTTTTCCTCCTGCCGCTCTCCTGTTCTTTGAAATATATATATATATATATCCCATAATGTCGTCCTTCCTTCTTGCAGGAGCTCCACTTCAAGAACCGCTACTGGCACGAGAACTGCTTCCGGTGCTTCAAATGCTACACGTCTCTGGTGAACGAGCCCTTCATGCTGAAGGAGAACAACAAGGTGTGGTGTAACAAGTGCACCACCACTGAGGGTGCGCCCCATTGCAAGGGGTGCCTCAAGCCCATCGTTGCCGGTAGGTGCCCGTGGACATCATGTTTGTGTCTGCTTCTGAAGGACTGGCTCCCTCAGGCAACCTCTGTGCTTTCAAAGGAGAGGTCAAGAGCCCGATCAAGGGCTAGTCTATAGAATCGGCAAAAATCTCTTGGCGCAAATTCCACCGAGAACGGCAGTAGGCTGAATGTAGAGGGTGAGGTCAAGGGTTGGGTTGTTCACCTTAAGTGCAACAAGAGTTGTTAGGAGTCACCCGAGTTTAGCCAGGGTCCACGTTGCCTAGGGAAAGCCCTCATGTCAAGAAGAACCATGTCTGGTTGACACCAGCGGGGTCCAACCTGTTGATCCACAGATGTTGTCAAGTACAATTCCCACAATTCTTGACCACTGGCCATGCTTGGTGGAGGTTTTCTGGCAGCTGGCGTCCACCAACACCTAGGGATGTATCTGAGTTGGGAACCTCTTGACTAAGCTCAGCACTTTAACATGCCGGCCATCACCCGGGAAGAGAGATTCTGCCACTGGCCCTGTAGTTTAGAGCAAGGGTCCCCCAACCTTGGGCCTCCAGATGTTCTTGGACTTCAACTCCCAGAGATCCTGGCCAGCAGAGGTGGGAAATGAAGGCTTCTGGGAGTTGTAGTCCAAGAACATCTGGAGGCCCAAGGTTGGGGACCACTGGTTTAGAGATAAGAGTCACCCTCTTCTTAACCAACACAAGCTGCCCCTGGCTTTCCTGTAAAATTCCTATGCTGCTGTTATTCCCCTCCAGATACTTCCCCTGCGAGTAGTATCTAAGAAAGCCAAAGGATATCTGCGTGTTTTTTTGTTGTTGTTGGCAAGGAAATTATTTTAATTATATGGTTACTGCTGCTGCGTTGGTTGCTATTGAGTCACATAATAATGTGATTTGCTTATTTTCTTGTAATGAAGCAGTTCTGATGTTTCTTCATTAGGAATATGTATTTCCTGTCTTGCTGCGTCAGGAATTACTTCGAGCACGAACAATAGTGTGTGGAATAGTGAGGCTTTATTTGTTAAACGTAACAATGGCTGTTTTTTGGAGGGTTACAAGGAATCTTTGACGCAGAAATGATGCAAGCAGATCGATTCCCCATCTAGATTCTGAAAGAGTATTGAGGACACAACTTAACTTCCCCCAAATGGTGTCCAATCAACTCTGATGGATTGAATTTCGATTCCTTCTGCGGCAAACTGTGGAGGATCTTCACCATCGCTCCATAAGACGCACAGACTTTCCACCCCCGTTTTGTGGGAAAAAAGTGCGTCTTATGGTGCGAAAAATACGGTAACTTCCCCCAAATGGTGTCCGATCAACTCTGATGGATTGGATTTCGATTCCCTCTGCGGCAAACTGTGGAGGATCTTCACCACAGTCTTTCCTTCCATGCAGGTGATCAGAACGTGGAGTACAAGAAGATCATCTGGCACAAGGATTGTTTCACCTGCAGCCAGTGTAAGCAAGTGATCGGGACAGGAAGCTTCTTCCCCAAAGATGATGAGATCTATTGTGTTTCCTGCCATGAGCATAAATTTGCCAAGACCTGTGTGAAGTGCAAGAATGTAAGTCATCTCAGACACTTTTGTCCTTCTGGGAGTCTGCCGTTCTGTCCAAAAGCGTAAAGCTCCTTTTATTCCCTTGCCACAAGTATAACACAATTAAAACGTGCAACAGGATGATACTCTTGGTCTGGATTTTGGAGCAGATGACCTTCGAGCACAGCACGCTTTTCTCTGCCTCTGTATCTTGCCATCCAGCGTGCTTTGTTTTGTGATAGGTTGTTGGAAGACAAACACGGGTTTAACCCTGCACGGGGCGCATCTCTGGGGAAAATATCACAGTGAGAGGGGGAAATATTGCTAAATGCCAAGGAATATGAATTTCCCTTAATAACTAGCTTAAGCTTACTGACCATTCTGTAGGATGAGGGCATGTAGTGCAGGAAAAAATTGCAAAATTTATTGCGTACTTTTGATGCAGCTGAAGACATGGGCTATGGCCCACAAGAATGTATGCCAAATGAAACATCTTAGAGCACGTCTGGATGGGCATATAGCTCGCTATTTGGATCGCTTTTGGTGCGATTTGGTTCAAATAAAATTCCAGCATCCACACTTGTTTTCACTTAGTGCGATCCATCCTGCCTCCTTTTAGAGCCGTCCCACTCCTTTTTTGGGGGTACAATTTGGAGGACTCCCAATTCTCTTGTTCTGTAGCCCGTGCAGATGGTTATTCAACACCCAAATACAGCTGTGGGTGGTGTTATCTGAGGTGACAACCCTGTGAAGTATTTTGTGGGATGTGGTATTGAAAGGGATGACAGAGAAACCCCCTCCTCTGTTTTTATCTACTGTTCTAATTTTTTTAAAAAAATTCATATTGATGCAGCGCTATTCTAGATAAACGAGATACACTGACAGCATTATGTGTACTATTGTTAGGTAGATGCATTGCTGTTTTGTTATGTCACTTACTTTAACACCCCCCCCCAGAAAAAAGGAAAGTCGCCACATCTTGCTGAACAAGGAAAAAAAAGCAGGAAATGGGGTGGGGAGTGTCATTTATCCAAAGAGGGTCAAATCAGTGTGATCCAAAAACCTGTCTGGATCCTTCTCATGGGGAAAAAATATTGATCAGTGTGAACCAAAGGATTGGTGAATGAGAGAGAAAGAACAGATTGCTCTAAATATAAGAACTTTTAAAGCATGAACCGGACTGTCCCAACTCCCCCTTGTCTGGACATGCCCTTAGTCTTTAAGGAGTCTGTTGACTGTTCTGGTCACAAGAGGCTAAAACAGATTATGCCCCTTTGCCCTCTTTCCATCCCCACCCCACAAAAAACATCGTAACATTTACATCTCCTTTCCAGTGATTCCTTCTCTCCCGTTGTGCTCAGCCTTTGGCCCTCCAGCGATTTCTCTTTTCAACTCCCAGAATCTCTGATGCTTGGGCAGGGCTTCTGGGAATTTCTGCTCAGAAAACTTGGAGGCCCAGAAGCGGTGGGAAGTGCTGCTGTTGACCGAGCGAGGCTGAATGAAAGAGTGGGGTTTATTTCCACTTACTCCCACTTTACAGTGGGGGGAGATTCTGATCAGGTCTCTCTCACAGCTAACACAGGCCCTTGGTGAGTCAGTCTATTGTCACTGGATTATGTTCTAGTCCTGAAATTAAGGTTCGAAGAGATGGAAGTTTTCCACAGATGGCATGCACTTTGGGTGTGGTTGGGGGGGGGACTGGAGCATGAAAAAAAAATATCATCCAGGAATACAGGCAGCAGTGTAATGACGATGGGCTGACTTCTTCACGCTAGGCGATCACTTCTGGAGGAGTCGCTTATCAGGAGCGCCCTTACCATGCTGAGTGCTTTGTGTGCGCCACCTGCTCCAAGAAGCTGGGTGGGCAACGCTTCACGGCGGTAGAGGATCAGTTCTACTGCGTGGATTGCTACAAGTCCTTTGTTGCCAAGAAATGCAGCGGCTGCAGGAACCCCATCACAGGTAAGCCAATACCTCCAATAAAGTATATTTTAAAGGTGACGCTGTGGACCGATTCGTCCCTGCGCCTACGATGGCGTGCAATGTTTCCACGCCTTACGACTTGCAGGAGGAGAAGCGGTTGAGAATTCCTTCCCCTAAAAAGTTATCACTTCCCCTGTTCTAGAGGATGTTTTAATCCTGCTTAAAACCTTCCTGGAAAACAATGGGGCCATGCTGTTTGGAACTACTGCTGATTTCATACAAGACTGGTCTGTGACCAGTTTTCCCTGACAAAGAGGAAGGGACTGTTGCGGTGAAGGGAACTGTAGGAAAGCTAGATTCAATCCCTTCCCCAACCCCACCCCATCCCATTCGAGAACCTGCAATTCAATATCTCTGATGTCAACAGTATTGCTTTTCATTGTGCCAGCTGAGTCAACAGCGAGAGCAGTACCTCAACGGGTAAGGTTGGTGTGTCAATCTGTAGGACTTAAATGTAACAGTTCTGCACTGAACGTTCCAAAGTTGGCTTGTTGAATTCATGGGACTGAAATCGGCGCTAGTTCTTACACCCAAGAAGGGGAGTCTCTCTCCTTGCAGACAGTAAGAGGCGATGGCTGTGCTCGCTCAGGGAAACCGATTGCAATTGGGACTGCTTGTGGAGTGGCTTTCTGGCAACCACACCATGTATGGGGGAAAAGCTCTCCAACTCCTTCTTTGTCCAGCCTTTAGGGCTTCTGTTTTTTGGGGGGTTGTGCTGAAGTCATTCCCCAGCAGACAGGAGGGTCACGTTAAGGGTGATCGCTCCTGTTCAAGGGATCAGGGGTGCACCTTTGCAGCCGTTGGATCGCGCCCTCGGCAAACAAGTTAGCTGCTGAATGACACGGCCGACTCCTTGCCTCTCAGCGCCTTCTTTGTCTTTCTCAACAGGTTTTGGGAAAGGCACCAACGTGGTCAGCCACGAAGGCCAGTCCTGGCATGACTACTGCTTCAACTGCAAGAAGTGCTCCATCCCTTTGGCCAACAAGCCCTTTGTCTACCACAACGAGCAAATCTACTGCGCCCCTTGCGCCAAGAAGCTGTAGAGGGAGCAGCACGCCTCCCAGTTGTGGGATAGATCTCGAACCTTGCGTTTGGATCCAGTCGGCTCACCGAGCAACTCTCAGCTGTAGGGTTTTTACCTTTTAGATGCCTGGCCTCCCTTTGCTCTCCTAAAGTACCCAAGGGCATGCTCCTGCTGCTCGCTCTATCCTGCCCCTTCAGCAGCTGACGTTAAATAAAACCTCCATGGAAACCACGGCCACCAAATCTGCTTCCTTGCCATTCATAGACATCAACTTGTGTTTATTTCTTTTTGCTTATGAGCTCTGCGTATCCAAATCCACTTTCTGCCTCTGCTGCACCATCTCACAAGGGAGTATAGACAAGTCTACTCTTTAGGTTACTAACTAGTGGGTATAGGTAGAAAAAGCAGGGTGAACTTGCACGGCTATTTCTACAGAGTGCTTTTCTGCTCTTCTTTTTTGTCGTAGTTCCAACGAATAAAGGAAGTTAGGTCTTCTTTCAACTACAATATTGCAAACCCAAGTTTCTGAGCAAAACTTTTTCTAAGAGGCGACTTTTCCTCTGTTCTTTGAGTCCCCGGCCATCTTTGAGCTCCTGGCGCCTCCTTCTGGCACTGTTGAACCATGACACACCGTTTTAGAGAAGCTTACGATTATTCATGTGCCTCCTTTCAAAACATTCCTGTTTCACTGACTAGAGTGTGCTACAGAGTGTGGAACAGAGCTTGTATCTCCTAACACAGAAAAGACCCAGTTCTTAGAACCAACTCTTTCTAAATAACCTCTACCTCTCAGCTTTTCCAGATACAGGGAGAGTCCTTCCACATATCCTTCATTTCAAGGTGCTTCTTTCGCCCGAGTATCACTCTTCCCGATATTCTTTCAGCCGTATTTTGACTCTGTTTAAGGCTTCTGGTGCTTCCTCCACAAAGCACACACTAGTCTTCAAGACACAATAAGCGAAGCTTCAATACCGAAAGTGCTAGAGGCGAGACACAAAGCCAATGCCTCTGTGGTTTTCTGTGGGGCCACCGACACCAAAGGGGAGCCAGAAAAGGACACCTGACTCCATTTTATCTTCTTCAGTTTTAGATGGTTTGGTAATACCTTTAAGCATGTACTTAGCATTCACCATACAACAGATAAAGGTGACATTTTTCTTAACCTATTGTTTTTTTAAAATAGTGTAGCTGAATTTATGACATGGCTTCTTCTAACCAGCTTAATTGTCACGAGGCCACCGCTGACTTAAGAACAAGCCACCCCACTACTCTTTCAGTGCATTTAAGAATGAAAAGCTATAACCTGCCTAACTTCGCTGGATTGTAAAAGCAGTTTGTCCACCTACCACAGCTACTGAAAAAACACCTCTTGCGTACGCTTTCCTCCTTCAGCTTCTGCACAGGATGTTTCGCTTGTGAAGCCTTGTGGGAGTAAAGAACTCCCATTTATAAAAACGTTGGCATGGTCGCAACTTGTGTTATACCAAAGGCATCTCCTCTAATAAACAGGAAATACTGCTTGTTTGGATTCTGTGCTGGGTTTTCTTTGTGACACCGTTCCAATGCAGACATTCTGCTTCAGGAAGGACTTTAGTTTAAAGCAAGGAAATCTTTTTTGGGGGGTGGGGTGGCCAGGTGGGTCCCTTAAAAACCTACCACAACCACACGCCTTTCAATTGCAAAGTTTATTTAACAGTGCATATATATTTACATACAGCTGTAACAAAGCATTTAACAGGAATCAGTTTGCACAGAAAAAAAAAGGATCAGGATCATCTCGCTTGTTAGGATGATTGTCACTGCCAGAATGAAAGAGCTATCATACAAAAATACACTGTTTGTTGGACCTAAGGCACTGTTCTAAGACACTGGAAGATAGCAAAAGAGCAGGACGATCGGGAGGGGAGGGACCTGGTTCGCTCCTTTATCTGGGATAGCAAGGAAAGAAACATGTGGAACGAAGGACATGGGGCCAGGAGAGACATTCGCTCCCACGTAGGACGGAAATGGCTGCAAAACCAGTCACTGGACGATGCAGCTTTCAGAGGGGACACCTCGCCACGTAGGGCAAAGGGAACAAGCATAATATTTTGTCGTCCCCCCAAGGTATTTGCAGAAGCAGCCACAGAGTTCCTTCCTTCCTGCCAGACCAAGTGGATGGTTGCAGGGTGGGGAGGGCTAAAGGCTAACGAGACTTAGTGAACGCAGAGAGCAGCCTTGTATGGCCCAGGCAAGCTGTGAGATCAAGCAAATGGAAGAACATGCAGAATAACAGACATGGATCAAAATACAAAATAAAACACACCACGTCAAGGGTCTAATACTGGTTTTATGTACACAGAAAAAAAAACAATACTTACAGATGTGGAGATCAACTTAAATACAGGTGATTTTATTTTAATGGGTTTAAACACAACCAATGACAACGGCACAAAAGGAAGGATCCGCCAAGGGCTGCTCCCTGGGGCTGTCGCTTCCTTCAGTGGGACTCCTTTGCACAGGATCTTCACAAACCCGAAAAAAAGGTACGGAAGCTGCACCCAGCAACTGGCCAGCTGGGGGGGGGGGAACCACCTAGGCGATTCTCTTTCCTGCCTGCCCAGCTAGGACCCGCACTCATTCAAAAACTGCTAAGCAGCTTGACGTAAAGGCCACCCATGGGAAAGTTTGGTACGGTTTTCAAGATGGGTAGAGATAAAGAAGGCAAGGTGCTCCATTGTCTGGTGGCCTCCAAAGGGGCAGGCCGGGAGGGAGATCATCCACCGGGAATCCCTGGCGGTGGTCCCCTTCGTCCTTTGACATAACTGTGCTTCATGATGTCTTTACACACCATAGCATGTATGGCAGCGCCTTGGGGTCACTGCTAGAGGGTGATATCCAAACGATTAAAGTTTTGCAGGGCTGCAGAACCCAAGTGGGCCACCAGACGCCGGGGTCTACTTTTCCCATCTCACCCCCGGTGAGGAGCAGCAACAGCTTTCAAGTGTTAGAGGCTATCTTAATCCTATCAAGTTTATGTTAGAAAGAGTCTGAGACACAAGTTTATTATTAGTTGACCTGGAGCACAGTGCTGGGTTCCCAATCATTTTAAATCCAGCTCTCTGTAAATGATGCCTCATGTCAGCAACAACCATATGGGGGTAATGCTAGTAGCGCATGACAAAAAAAATGGGTTTGGTTTTAATGTGCATTAGATCAAGTTTTTAAATATTTTGTTTACCGCAGAAGAGCAGTTGCTAAATCTCCAGGATAAGCTGTTGTACATCACATCGACTGGAACATGTGAGGACCCACCGGAAATTTAGTGAACATTTCATGGAAAGAAGTGATATTTAAAAAGGAAACATTGTTAAACAGATCCAATAAAGATATCCTGTAAAGCGACACAGAAAGAGCCTCCCCGAAAAGGTTTCAAGGTGCAAAGCTTCGGCAAGGTAGGGCTTTAATAACAATAATAATAATAATTAATTTCTTTTGCATAAAACATGGAGGTGGACAAAAAGGTTCAGAAGCAGCATCTTCAAAACAAGGCCTTCATCACTTCTTGAAACTCCAAGTTCCTGAAGTGCTGTCGCAAGAGGCTCCCAGGTTTTAATGTTCACAGTTCTGTTCAAAACCAAGACAGAACAATTTTTTTTAGCATTCTCAAGCTAAGCAGCACACACTGTACACAAACAACATTTCTGGGATCGGCATGAGCTTGGCAAGAGATGCCAGCACCGCCACCAGGGCACAATTGCCATGCAGGAAACAGACTTCTGTGCAAGAGTCACACGTATATTTCATGCAGTAAACAGGTGGCCCACTTTCCATGTTGGAAAAATGTGGTGTGCAACACAGTCCACATAGGATGTTCTCATACATAACTTATCAACATTTTTATTCCTGGTTTCCACCAAATTGAGAAAGAGGGGGTGGCCCGGTCTAGCCCAAGGCTGAGAAGATGGGGTCTCCCTGCCAGGAGGGCCCCTTGACCAAACATACAGGTTCCTTTTAATCAAAAGGATAATTAACGGAAGGCAGGGGAAACAAGAGACAAGGGATGCCAGACTGCAGGAAATCAGGACAAGGGCTAAACGAACATTTCCCCCACTTCCCACCTATCTCAAGACAGTCAGCGTTTATTCCTTCCAAACCAGAAACAAAAGATCAAAATAAAATGCTGGTAGAACCTTGCTTCTGAAATCAAAGTTCAGTGAAGACTAAACCGATTTAATCTGAGCGAAGGTTTTATTTTCCTGCCTACAGAAAAGGCTGCTGGTGTTCTCTCAGTGTGGCCTGAGGCAAGAGAGAGAGAGAGAGAGAGAGAGAGAGAGAGCAGTCGCACATGCATTACCTGATGCGGTCTCTATGGGTTTGGTCAAGGAGTTCATGGCATTTTCCTCCTCAAACGCCAGCTTGGGGCTTACAGGCACCGGAGTAGCATCATTCAAGTTCTGGGTGGGATTCTCGGCAGCGAGGCTCTCTGGATCGAGCCTGGTGGTCTTTGGGTGCAGGCCGATATCAATGATCTCCTCAAAATTCCATGCAGAAGATTTCCCATTCAGATTAGACATGAATCCCATTGAGCGCTCTGCTTCGTTAACATGCAAGATTTCAGAATTCTCAATAACCGTCTCTTTTGCTGGTGGGCTGAGAAGAGAGGGGTGAAGGACTGGCTGCGTCTCAAACAGCCACTCTTAATAAATAAACTGAGATGGTCGCCAAGCAATTTTTAAAAATTTAGTTCACACAGAGACACATTCACTCAAATAAAACAAAGCTACAGGCAACCATCAAAGTACCAACAGCAACTAAATTACCTACTTCAGCCGAGGCAAACAAAAGAATTATACATTTAGCTTTGAAAGGCAGTAAAGTTTTCAAATTCTACCTCCCCCTGCCCAAATCTTTAACCTGTCACACGAATACTTTTAATTTGGCTTTCTACAGAATTATACTGGACCTTAGACTGAGCAATCGTCTCTAAGGCAATCTGACCATTATTAGAGCTTGGGTTTCTGCTGCTTCTGTTCCAGAATTTGCCACTCTGGCCTATCTGGGTACAGGTTTTGGGGCACAGTTACTTTCGATGCTAATCTGGCATTGCTTCATACAACTGGGCCAACGGATCCCCTTTGACAGACATGTGCCAACCTAATCTGCAGCGTTCTCTGCCACATGATGCAGTAGCTGACTTCAGAGAGGGACTCACTGTACAAAGGCCTGGAAGATGGTAGCTGGGAGACCCACCTGTTGCCAGCCTCCAGATTCAGGGAATGTTTAACACTGAAGGCCAAGTGCCGGGACTAAAAAAGAGAATGCTATCACCTATGATTACCAGATGCCTCTGAGTAGTCCAAAAAGCAGACACTGCTCAGAAGCACTGGCTGGCCACTGTGAGGTGCAGGATTACTTGGGTAGCTATACTGAATCCACGGGGATTTCTGGACACTTCTTGGGGACATTGAGCTTACCTGGCTTCTATTCTCTGAGTAAAATATAAAGAATTCCCATCATCATCTGTCTGGTCTACCTCCTCCTGCTGGTCACCATTCACAAAGACGTCGTCTGTCTTCACTTTCGGCTTCTCTTGAAATGCAGCATCGCCATGCCCAACCTCTGCGGTGTCTTCTAGGCAGGTCTTATCAAACTTTTCCTTTTCTAAAATTAAGAATTAGAATCACCAGCTGGGATCTGAGACAAACAGCATGCTGGAAGGCAGTAATTCCAATTATTTTCAAACGGCTACCCAAACTGGGAATGGATATGGGGTGTTAATACGCTGCATTCTTAAGCAGATGGAAAAACCAGACAGAAATGGCTTCGTCCCATCCGTGTTTTTCATGTTCTCAGATGGACATGACAAGAAGCCTCTTGGAAGCCTTATTAAGTCAGCTGGAACAATTAATTCTTAATTAATTAATTATTTCAACTTTTATACTTCAAGGCACACTCTGGATGGTTCAGAGCAAAGCATACAAAACAATAAGAACAATTCAGAGCGATATACAAATACATGATCAACAAACAATAAAATCAACCGGATTGCTGGGGACTATCCTTCACAACAGCAAACTGCTTTGACCTGGACACATCTCCTTTGCTTTGAGGTAGCTCCTTACCAGGTTCGTCTTGTTTCTCAAGGCCCAAGTCTTCCTCCTCTTCCTCTTCCTCCTCTTCAACACTTTGAGGTCACCCCTTACCAGGCTCGTCTTGTTTCTCAAGGCCCAAGTCCTCCTCCTCTTCCTCTTCCTCCTCTTCAACATATTCATCCTCCTCGTTTGACTTATCTTCGTTCTGGATTAAAGAAAGTGGAAGGAGATGAGCGATGGCAATAGGAAACATCAGAGGAAATACAGACTGGCAACTGCATCCTATGTCAATGAGTATCACCACCCCTTACCAGGCTCGTCTTGTTTCTCAAGGCCCAAGTCCTCCTCCTCTTCCTCTTCCTCCTCTTCAACATATTCATCCTCCTCGTTTGACTTATCTTCGTTCTGGATTAAAGAAAGTGGAAGGAGATGAGCGATGGCAATAGGAAACATCAGAGGAAATACAGACTGGCAACTGCATCCTATGTCAATGAGTATCACCTAAGCACCCACGTAGGTAAAAAGAACACATCCAGAGAACTGCTAGGTCCCATCCGGGGGGTGGGGACTGTGGAGAGTGTGTGGCTCTATTTATTTGGGCAACACACCCTCCCCTTCCTTCAAACAAGAGTAGCTTCCTTTATCAACTCTAGCATCAACGACACAGAAGAATTCCTCTTTGTGCCAGGTTAAGGTGAGGATTGTTGGGCTCAGGAAATGCCGCCTTTCTACATTTCAGATGTGGGCTTTTTAAAAAAATAGATGCTCCCGAATGCAAACTGAAAATGGAAGCCGCGAACACTGGATTGGTCACTCAAAGGCACTTACCTTGGCTTCGTTCTGTTCCGCCTTCCGAGTCCTCTTCATTATTTCTTCAATTCGCTGTTTGAAGGACAGAAACAACCACTTAGGTGACACCCAAGGCAAAGCAAAAAAGCAAAGTGTGCTGCTTATATACCACCCCGTAGTGCTTCAAGCACTCTCTGGGCGGTTTACACATAGTGACCCCCCCCCAGACAGCTGGGTACTCATTTTACTAGACCTCGGAAGAATAGAAAGCTGAGTCAACCTTGAGCCGGCTACCTGGGATTGAACCCCGGGTCGTGAGCACAGTTTTGGCTGCAGCACAGCAGTTTAACCACTCTGCCACGAGGCTCTTATCAAGAGATTCAGTTCCACCCCCCCACCCCATTTGCAAGCAACTTACATGCTACCTTAGAGTAACAGAGGACAAGCACCCAGAGTGCTCTGTACAGGCTCTGGTTATTTCCTAACACTGCTCTCGAGGCTGTTCTGAGCACAAAAGAGTGGCAACCAAAGAGGACAAGACGGGCAGAACGGAAGTGGCCAGATCTGTTCTTCGTAGAACATTTTGGCCCGATTTGGAAAGGAGGGACTCGGACCAGAAAGCACACAGCGTACCTTTTTCCTCTCCAGTCTCTCTTGCATGTTCCGCTGCATAATTCTCTCCCGTTCCTGCCGCTGCCTTTCAGCTTCTTCCAAAGCTTTCGCTTCGGCTTCTTCTCTCTGAAATGAGGAACACAGAATGAATGCCACTAGGAAGCCATCAGAGGATCTCGGCTTGGAACACCCTCACATTAGGTAAAAAGGGAGCTGAAATTCAAGTGAAGTGCAAGTTTCCGTATTTACTTTAGGTCTTAATAAGAGTAGTAAAGATAGCTTATACTCATGATGAATCTGGAACAAGTTATTGAAAAGAGAGAAGTCCCTAATGGATATTATTGCCATCAGAGGCATCATCCTACTTGGCAGAACTATTAAAGAGCAGGTGCTTAACATGGAACACCAAAGACAAATGAGAATAAAGAGAATGTGAAGCAACCACCTTTTTTCGATCTGGAGTCTGTGGGTACACTTAGACCACAAGTCCCATTAACCCACCCTCCGTCCAGCAGTCAGACTGGCTGAGGCTGATGGAAGTTGGGAGTCTAGGCTGTCTTGGCCTCAGCAAGATCTACAGCTCCAGAATCAGCACTCAAAGTGGAATTTTCACATGACGGTGGAAATTTTTGCTAACCGAGGCCTTCCATTAAAAGCACCGCGCACGCACCACGAGCCCTCTAAGGTTGCATCGAGGAATCACACCTGCAGCTGAAGCTCAGCGAGTTTTTCCTGCTCCTCCAGCTCTCTCTGGGCTCTCTCATTTTCAGCCAGCCTCTGCTGCTCTTCCTCTTCCAGCCTCTTCTCTTCTTCCATCTCCCGGAGAGCCTTCTCGGCCTCGACCTGCTCCTCAAGGGCTTTCCTGGCCATTTCTTCTTTTTTGATCCTAAGAGTAGGACCAATAAGGGGGGTGTCAGGTCCCCGGTTTCATTTTCTCCTTTTCTCTCCAAACATACAGAAGGGGGAAAAAATAATTTCTCAGGCCCATACCCTGACTCAGAGACTGGAGTTTGATTCCCTGCTGTGCCGCCTTAAACCTGATGATCTCTAGGGTCCCTTCCAGGTCTGCAGTTCTGAGATGATAACGATTATGTTCCTCTTTGGAGAACTTTTGAAATAAAGGATCAGGCAGAGATGGGTGCTGGGCAAAGGAAACCTGCCTCGCCCGAACCTTGCAAAGGAACCGTCAAGAGCGACACGAACCCTCCGTCTCGTTGTACAAAGCAGACCAACCGCTCCTGACCAGTTCTAAGGAAACCACCATCCCTCACAAAGGAGACGTCGTTCCTATTCAAGCCCGCCTCTTAAACAGAGAGGTCAAACAAAACATTACATACAGCTAGTATAGAATCAAGGCAAAATGTTCAAAAGTCTGTGTTTCTAGCAATTCTGAAGCAGGGCCTCGGACTGTGAAGGCGTCATGCAGGCTCATTTGAGGAGGATATTTTTAATCCACCCTAGGGGGAGAGCCTGCCTCCTTCCAATCTTTCAAAACATGCCAACTACCAGGGTCACCTAGACAATTTTTTAAAAACTCACCACCGATGAGCAGAAGTTGGCTTACCTTTCCTCTTCTTCTCTCTGAGCTTTTTCCTGGTCCTCCCGCTCTCTCTGCTCTCTTGCCAAACGGCGCTTCTCTGCCAAGATCCGTGCTGCCTCTTCTGCGGTCGTGGTCCCAGGAATGCCTTTGCTACTGGTATCTAGGAAGACAGCATCCGAAGAATCAAATGAAGGCAGCCAATTATTCCCGATTAGGTTGGCTTTCGGTTCTCAGACTTTCACCCAGCAAAGCTCTGCACGGGGCCTCATTTATACAGGATACAGGCTCTACAGAACAGCTGCCACTGGTACAAGTGTCGTTCCTTATCAACCACGCTAGCTCATTTGTGTTTAGCCATGATGTGGTGCTTCCGCTGTTGCTAAAACTCCAAGTGAACATGCAAAGAGACCGGTTCGTGTCGAAGGTCCATCTAAATGGGATCAGATGTATGCCCTCACAGGTAAGGACTTTCCACACGATCCAGATCCTCAATAAAAGACCTTATCATCATTAGACAAGGAAGCTTTACAATGAGCTTGACTGTAAGATAACGCAAATGGGCTATCAAGAGCCTGTGGGCTCAGCACCTGGTGTAGTCTGACCTCTGGAGAAGTTTGACCTTTTAAATAAACTAACAGGAGAATATTCTCCCCTCATCCAGGGCAATTTAAAGGCAGTTTGTCTACTGGGAATATTCTATGACTTCAGCACGACCTTATCTAAGTGAAACTGGTTACGTTACTTAAATAATTTATCAACTCAAAATTGTTAATTCTTGTTATACTATTTAAATATTTCCCACACAATGGCAATGTGTTTTGATCAAGAATAACTTTAGCTTTCCTCCAGGTAGTTACACTTTTCTGTTCTGCCTAGGCAGATACTGTGCTTGTTGACCTTGAGGTTGAATAATGCAGAGCCACCAACATAAGTAACTAAAAAGTGCAAACATGATCCAATAGAAGGCATAACGCATAACAGAATATCTACATTTGTTCGTTTAACAGTTCAACACACTCAATTTGTTTGAAAGAAAGGAACACAACAACTACCATGTTTGCCTGAAAATAAGACAGGGTCTTATATACTAATTTTTAACCCAAAAAAACGCATTAGGGATTATTTTTAGGGGATGTTTTATTTTTTTCAGGTACAATAATCTACATTGATTCAAATACAGTCATGACATCTTCTGGTTCCTACACAAGGGTGCAGGACGGGGTTTCATTTAACTGGGGCTTATTTTTGGGGTAGGGATTATATTACGAGGATCCTGAAAAATCACAGGAGGGCTTATTATCAGGTTAGAGGTCTTATTTTCAGGGAAACACTTTAATGAGACTCACTGAAACACTGGAGCGTCTATTGGAAAAAAAAAAGATTCCTCTACATATTTGAAGAGTTCTTTTATTGCTGGAGAGACATTTTTTTAAAAATGAAAGAAGATGACATTCACCCTTCAAAACAGACAATGTGGTAACTTTTCTTTTTTTCTTAAAATGTTTGGCAGAGTCAGGCTCCAAGTACATTATGCTTAAGACAAATCCATGTGTTAATGTAAAGAATTGGACATGTGTCTGCGTGATGTGGCTGCTGCAACCGTATCTGGCTTATACCTGTGCATCTCTGCAGCGATCCATCCTTGCCTGCCCACAGCGGTGGGTCTGTAGTGGTTACTTTGACATTAAGCACACTGCCCGGCTGACAAGCCCAGTGGCTTCACTTCTAAAGCAAAGCCACTATAGCTCAAGGAAAGAAGGCAGGTGGAGAGCATCGTTTGGCAAGGGCTGCTGGAGCCGGGCGCCTTAAGAGCCGCCCGTCAATGGTGATAGTCAGCGGCATCCTGCTGGTGCTGCGGAAGGTAGCCTGGATGGGGCAGGGTGCCAAAGTGGTGCGAGAGGTTGGCTAGGTGAGTATTCAGCACTCTCAGCTCCTGGCTTATGTTGTCGACACTGCACCTCATGGTCTGGAAGGTGTGGAGCAATTTCTCCAGAACAAAAGGCTCCGTCATCAGGGTCACAGGACGGTTCTGTGTCACCCTCCTCCCTCCCGGTGAGGAATGAGAGGCTAGCACATAGCTCGAGCCACTCCTCCGAGGATAGGGGAAATCAAAGCACCTGAACGGTTTGACACCCGTCCCCTCGGCCTGCCTGGCCGCCTCCAGGGCAAAGTTGGGCGGGAAACTGGTAGCTCCCCTGGCAGATCGGCTGTTCGCACTGTTCGGTGGGACAGCCATGTGAGGTGGAAGGATGCCCGGGGAGGACGCACGGCCGATGAGATCGGTGCGGGAAGGGATAGGGGAACAGCTCGAGGGGCAGGGGGTGGCCGCGAGTCGAGCCATCGGATCATATCCAAAAAGGATCTTTCTTGCCACGGAGGAGGCCGCCTGAGAATCTTGACAGCTGGAAAATGAGGCAGCGGAAGGCGAAGGGCCAAGGACGGAGGACGGCAATTCCGGGAGGCGTGTGAAGGACCCCAGTGAGTCTGCAAAGGAAAATACGTGTGACTGAAGCCAGTGGCCCCAACGGGCAGAAAGCGACGGTCTAGGTGTCTAAGCAGAGTCAGCTAGCAGTTTAAGATTTGGCATGCTCCATGCAAGATCTAGTTGCACTGAAGGCTGGGTCAGAGGAAGGATTATATGCTGAAATTAGTCACACTGCAGTCAGCTTAAAGCAAAAACATTACGGCCATGCTGTGTTTTACATCTAATGTTCTATTGAAATAACCCACTCACCTGTGGCTGTTTGCAGACAGAGATTCCTCTTCCAGGTGCCCGGGTCAAACTCCTTTTTTTCCTGCTAAGTTCTCCCCTACGTCCTTCTCCAGAGAGACAGAGAGAAGTGCCCAAGACATCGCCAACATTTCTCTTTGGGGGAGATGGCAGAAGGTGTCCTTCCTGCTCAGAGCGACAGAGGAGGTTCTCCTTTGTGCACAGGGGCAAGGAGGGGAGGCGATGGATGCATTCATTCATTCATGCTGTATTACCTCCCTGTGGCACGTGGCAATGGTAATCAGGGACATAACAAACCAACTTTTCAGTAACACGATCTCACTAAGCCTGAGGTGGTGATACCTGAGAAGTCCTTTTCTCTTCCAAACTGGCAAAACTACAATTCTTTTTTTTTCTCAGTTTTTTACAGTTCCACAATCACCATGTAGGAAAAAAAAAACCAAGACCTAATGAATGAAATACTTGCTAATCCTTAAGATCTAGCCTCACAGAGCAGTTTTACCACAGTCAGGGCATTAGTTTTGGAAACGAACAACTCAATAAGCTAGAAATGACCACTGGCTCTTGAAAATCAGCTAGCTAGAAACACTGGATCACACTCACCTTCCCACCAACCCAATAAGAAAAATATATTATTTTATTTTCTTTGTGGATGGGTAACTGAGACACTGATTTGCCCAAATCCAACCACAGCCCAGGTTTCATAATTACCTGGCCAATAGTGCTACCCCGACAGCATTCTAGCTCATGTATGAAACCAACACATAAATTAATTTTTGTGCGAGAATGTTTTGAAAACAATATACTCAATTTCTCACAAACTGTCTTTCTGTAAAACAATGCCTTACTGTCAACGTTCAGAGCCTTCTGTCTGGCACAAAATACACATAGCAAACAAGGCTTTGCTATGCACTCACATTTCTTTATTACCAAGTTTAAGGACCAAAACCTTTGTGGTATTAAGAATCCAGCATTTCCCGTCACTTGCTCAATGGAAAGTACAAGGGTACTGAGAGCAACACCTGAGAACCCATTATCAGAAGCACTCAACTGCAAACATAAATAGATGAATAAGCAAATCAATATGACAGTAAAGTCCCTCTGTGCTTAATAACATGGGGCATCAACTGTTGCATCAGCTGCTACTCTTTGTAATTGCCCTGATTTTTGTTGATGTCATGATAAAGTAAATGCACACATAAGTGCATCACAAATCTTAACACCACTTTTATGCTGCCCAAGAGTGGAACCACTGAAACAGAGATCCTCTGGTCACGTGGCTGCTCTTTGCACTAGCATTCAAGTCACACTGGAACTTGGTGGCTTGTCTGTTACCCCAGCCTCGTGGACTCTCTGCTTCTCAGCAGCTCAGAGCTCCATCTGACAGAGCAGGGGAGGACAGGTGGGCCAATGGATCGATCCCATCGCACATGAGCTCTCTTACCTTCTTTGGTCTTTGATGCGGCTCCTGCCACGTCCCTCTCTGAGGGGTGAGAAGGGCCCCCGTGCTCTTGTCCCGCAGCATCCACCGCCTTCTCCTTTGGCTTGGACTCCAGGTCTGTTTTCTTTTTGGTAAGACTAAGGACATTTGGGGTAAGTGACGGGCGCTGAATTGGTGCTGGTTTAGAGACTGTCACAGGAGATGGTGGGCGTTGCCTTAGGACATTTGGTGAACTGGGATGAGTTTTTTGTCTGTCAAGAAAGGGGTGACTATCAGGACTGGGTTGCAAGACTGAAGCATAGACCAGGCTTTTGTTTTTCCATCTTCTTCTTCTTCCTTTTAAATATTGCTGACAGCAAGAGCCTATATATACTTTAGCTAGACAGGACAGACCCTCTCTGCCAAAGTAATGCAGCCCATGGCTAGCTATCATTTAGATTTCGCGTTCTGCCACGGGCTCAGCAAAGCATACCTTACAACATCACTGGGTGTATTTAGCTCAGCTTCCCATCTGACAACCCAGACCCACATTCTTGGCTTTACAAGTTCCCTCCTATTATAACGGAAACAGTCTTGCACGTTAAACCTCCCTCTATACTTCATTACTTTGCCATGATCTTCCTTCCTCAAATAACCCAAGTGTTACTCAACAGCCTTAAGGGCATTTCAACAGCAGGTGTTCAACAGGCAAAATAACATATACAAAAAAATAGCATAAACAAAGGGTGATAAGTTGGACCTACGCAGGAAAGCAGGAGGTGCCTTCTTGATAACCCAGCCCTTTGTCCACACTCTGTGGACAAAGAGCGCATCATCCCATTCTATGAAGACCGCTGGACATCAACAGGGAAAACAGTGTTGATTTTACTCTGGGTAAGAACTGCAAAGAGAAAAGATTTTAACTGGATAGAAACCTGTTTGCAGCCGGAGATGGAGGGCGTTTACCCACATTGGCGGGAGAAGGAGACCGTCTGGGACCCGAAAACGAAGGTGAGGGTGCGCGCCTCCCTGTAGATGATGAGAACTGCTTTGCTGCTTCAGGCTTCTGGGAAAAGAACAGACACATTTTGGTAGATTGCTGTTTTCCAAAAAAGGGAACAGAAACCAGCAAAGAAAGCAAACTGTGCAAGTGTCACAGAACAGCACAGTGTTACTGTGAAATTCTTTGGAAAATGCTTTGCTGTGCTACTGAATAGAGGATTTGTGGTGTTCTTCGATCGGCTATGAGATACAGCACATCCAGAGAAAATCCAAGCCCAGGGAACGGGTGGCCCTCCTGGACGGCAGCAGATGAGTGTCTAAAGGAATGCTCTTTGTGCGGTTCCAATGAAAGCTGCCACCTGATCTCCCAAAATACTGTAAAGAATTTGGATAGTATCATCTGTAAAGTGGTTTTTTAAAATTTACATGGATATAAAGAATAACCTTGAACTGCACACACATTAACTGAAGCACACACTCTCTGTGGGGTGGAAAGATCTTTTTAAAAGGAACTCTGCCATTAAGAGTCTTTCATCTGAACGGGTAATGGTAACTAAAGAGATCAAGTAAACAGCTCCGAACGTATAAGAGTGGCCAAAATCCTGCTGCCTAACTTCTGAAACCCAACTGCAAAAAGTGAAGAACTTTGTATGCCTCTGAGCTGTTGCCTATTGAGCTACACGACAGGATTTCAGCCCAAGACCAACAAATGTGCTTGCAGACTTAGTCATACTTGCAAAATTATCATTAATACCTTTGCTTTGAGAAAGCACAGGACTAATGGTTACAACCTTGTCAGAAGTAGTAGGGATTTTTCAGCATTGCAAAAGATGGATGTTCAGTATCATTAAGACGCCAGGGGTGGCACCACGAGACAAACCCACCTGTGCAGATTCCAGAGAAACATTTTCGGCTGAGGAGGCAGTTGGCTTTAATCTGTCGGAGCTACGACTGCGAGCAGGCACTTTGGGAGCGTGGACCGGGGAACTGATGGAACTGCTAGAAGCTGAACGAGGACAGAGGGAAAATTCTATAAAGTTAGGAATTTGACAAGACAAACAGATCATCAAGGGCACAGTACGGGTGTGTGTGGGGGAAACGGGGGCCAGGGAGGAAAGACAAAGAGAGAAGGAAAGAAAAGACAGTGCTTGTTAGGTACTGTATCAAAGACCACCACAAGACGTTTACAGTGTAGACACCACTGCAATTAGTAGTGCATTTCACAGAAATATCACAAAAATCAAGAAAGAGTGAAAAGCAGCAGGCTGGCAAAGCTAAAAATGAAATGTCCCCCAACCAGACACAAGTTTAAGTATTACTGCAGACTCAACTTTTAAAGCAAGTGGGTTGATTTTCAGTCTAATGTCAATATGGAAGGCAACATTCATGCAGGACTCAGTAATTATAATTTACAGGAATGGAGGAATCCACATTTTTAAACACATGCTTTTTGTATCTCATATGCAACTTAACACACAGTGCACAATGAGCACTGAAAATTGTAAGCCTGTAGAAAGGATATGAATGGCTTTAAGAATGTACGGGGGGGGGGGAATTCAGGTTATTATCTTCTAATTTCATCCATGTGCGGGATTCAGATGACAGCGAAGCTGATTAAGTGCAAATTAAAACATGCACTGTAATCCAAGCAAGTGAAGCAATGCTAACAGATGAAAAATTCTGTCACTGTCAAAAGGAGCAAATGGGTAAGGCCTTGTTAAAGACGTATTCAGCGGAATGATATGGAATATAATGTGGCAGGCAAACAAGGTACAAGGGAAGAACGCTCTGCTTCAGAGCTTCCTACCGCATGATCATTCCTTTTGTGCCACAGATACAGCAAGTAATCTGTACCTGACTGGTGCAAACCAAGAAACAGACCCAGCATGGATCAACAAGGGACCCCTGGGCATGTGTTCCCAGAAGGCACACTCTAATTTTAAATGCTGGTATCAAATACCTGCCTGCTCTATTAGTACAGCAGCCCTCCACTCTTTGGACCGTGTGGTGGTGCTAGTGGTTAGTACTAACTGACAGAAGCCTTTGCTGCTGGCAAAAAAATCCTGCAACCAGATGTGCATACACCAGGCTGAACTTTCTCCAGACTGTGTTCAACAATGCAAAGAGGTAAAACTGGAGAAATGGAAGCATTCTGTTCCGCTGAGGTTAATGCCGACAGCCCTGCCTTCAGGATATACTGGGCAGTCCTCACTCCGGTCCTGTGCTTGAGAAAAGACAAGCTGCTCCGTTGGGACTGTGTCTGCATGCCTATTACCTGAGGGGTCTTTGCCATCAGTCGATAATGTGGCAGCACTTTTACTCCTAGCTAAGGAGGCCTGGGTGGGGGCCAGCAGACGACTGATCACGTGGCTCTCCAGAGGGCTGAACTGAGAACGGCGAGCTGAATGGTGAGAACAAATCAAAGAGGAATCAACATAAAGTATAATAATGAAGCAAGCAGCACAACAGAGGAAAGGACAGGGGTGGGGTTGCTGTGAGGCTTAACCTATTTAGCAGGCAAAGGACCACAGAGAAGGAAAGAATTAATAGTACAAGTCCCCACTGCTTGTACTGCCGCCGTGCTACTCGGTGCCAAAGCCTGCTTATACCAGACCAACACACAGTTTGAGTTACATCTTTTTGCAGTCGACATAAGGTTGCAAAGGTTGGATGGCCCGTTGCATCACCTGAAAATAATTCTACAGCTTGCACCAAATGGTCTGGTAAAAGAGAAGACTGGATTTTTACAGATAGGCAAAAATAATGTAATCCAATAGAATTGCATTATTTACTTTTGTTAATGGTTTCAGGGACAACAAGCAACATTCGGACAAGAAACACAAACAAGGGAAAATGGCAGCTGGAACTGAGAGTTCAGTTAGTCTGTGGTTGTTTTCTCCTTGTGGTGTCAGGTAAGTGTGGTAAATCATCAAACAGCACACAAATGATGAAATCCTGGTGCTTAAGAGTAGCAAGTCACACTAGAGTAGGCCCACTGAATCCGTGAGGATTTGGTCACTTTAATTCCTCCATAAACTCCACTGATTCAAATGGGATTACTTGAGTTGCAACTTACTGAAGTCATAATTAGAGTAGGCCTATCTGAATCAACGGAATGGATGGAAGAGTTGATTCACCAAATCCCCACTGATTCAGTGGACCTACTTTTGTGCAAGGTATTAGGCTAAGCAATAGTTAAGCAATAGGATTTAAGTCACAGTTTCAGACAGTGGAACACATAAATATTCTTTCTTTCTTACAAATCTTCTTTAACTGCTAAGTTTACATGCAAACCTCTCATGCAAGTGGCATTTTCTGGAAAGCAAGAACTGTGAGGAGCAGGGAACTGCTTATCCAGTGGTCTCATCCAAATAACATCATGACGTCAGAAACGAAGCCAGCCTGCCTTTTGGTCAGCAGATCAACCTAGATAACTACCAATGCTGAGCAGAAATTAGTCCACCTATGTATGGGGAGCAGAAATCTTCAAGGTAAACAGACTACTACCTAACACTAGCAAAGAGTCTTGCTGTAGAGTGTGAAAAAAATGCTAGATATTTTTCATGTTCCCTGCCTCTCTGTGTATGTCTATAAATGTCTGCTTGCTGAAGCTATACTCCAGGCATCCAAAAAAATGAGCTGCAGATCAGAGAAGTGTCCAAAGTTTGTTCATCTTTAAGATGCCACAAAACGGCTGGTCTTGCTCAACTGACAGTGGACTAATTCCTTCGACCATGTACAGTACATAATAACATAACCTAACTAAAGTGTCCTCCACGTATCACAGGTCTCCAGCATATTATTTTCCGCCAGAGTAATGTCACCGAAATATCCTGTCAATGGCAAGGAACTCAATTACAAGGTTGGCATTATGCAATATAACTATTTCCTGTTTGTCTCGATGTGTGAAACACAAATAATTGAATCCAAATTTCTCTCAGGATTACCTTTAAAGAGACCAAAGTTACAGAGACTCACCGGCTTTTTCTTCCTTTTGCACATTTTCTAATTCAGGAGAAGACTGGGGCTTCGTGCTCATTCTAGTCAGAGATGAACTCCTTTTCTTTTCTGTTTCTCCTAGGTATCAAACACAACACTTATTTTCAAGAGGTGCTTCCATAGCTCAAGTGTGACATCACACACGTTCAGGGGATTATGAAAAGCATCTTTCACTGGGAACAATTAATCAAGGTTTGCACAATTATCTGTTATTCCTTGTCATGGAAATGTAAAGGAAAAAACAAATTTCCATGTTGGACTGCTTTCAACTGAAAAGGGAAAACAAGACCAACTTAATTAACGTTACTTGTTTCCAACTTGCTAATTAATATTTCCAGATCTGGCACGGACATTAAGCAAGTGTTACATCAATTAAAACATCTAAACAGAAGCGGTGTACTATCCTAGATGCAACATCTAACATCTCTGGTCACAGAGTTGCAGCCAATTTTCATTCGACTCAATCCCCCTAAATTAATACTGCTTTCCAAAGCAAATAAACATTCTCTATTAATCACACAATACTGTATATTTTTTCTTAGGGAAGTGGCCGCAAAATTAAATACTATGGTTTTGTACTTCTCTGCGGATGTTCGCTCAGAACGCGAAGGGAAACTATTTAGACGAAGGACCCAAAACTTTACAAAAGCAAGGACACACTCCTCTTGAGAATGTCCGATGGAAATAAAACATTCCTGCGCAGTTCCTGTTCCTCTCGAAAAAGCTTAGGCAAACGTCTCAGTCAACTGTGTCCCAAAAGGAGTGGAAAATAACAGCACTGTATGGATTTTGAGTTCATGACTGATGCCGACTAGGAATTCTTTGTTTATGGGAATAATCGCCATCCTTAGTCCCCATCACAAAAGAGGTATAGTTTGCATCTGTCGGCGTATGATATCCGTCTGTGTACTTATGGCTGAAAGCCACTTGGGCTCTCTAAGAATTTGGACACTGATGGCCTGGATGTTGCGAATCTCCTTGGCATGCCAGCGTGTTCTTTGTTGTCAGAATTAATCAGACAAATGACTCCACTGAATAAGAACAGGACAGAGCGCTATCCATGGTATCAAGAAAGAGCTATTGACCTATCACTCTTCCATATCTAAGTTGGCGCTTTAGTTCATAAAATCTTAACTTTATTTAAAAACACACAGTTCTCATTCTCACACCCCTCATTTTTTTTTTTTTTTAAATCTAGTCTGCTGTACCTTTCTGCTCCACTTGTAAACCTTTGGGCACTGGCTGCTCAGAATTCAGAGGAACTTTGTTATTCAATCGGTTTAATGAAGCACTTCTTTTAGTTGAGCCTGCAAGGAAAAATTAGTGCCCGGATCAGCTTTGCATACATTACTATACACATCAAGCAAGAGGATAAGATGATTACTCTGCTCTGATTTGAATTACAGTCCACACAAAATCTCATGTAGGTAGATACAAGAGGAACTTAATCAAGGAATTCGGAGAGTTGTGACAAGTTCATATAATCATGGGCATTTCTGTTCTGTTTGAACTGGGACATAGTCACATTTCTGTATTCAGAGATCATGTAAAAAAGCACATTTAATGAAGAAGAAAACGTCCTGCAGTCAACTCCTGAAGTATGGCCTGTCCTTTAAAAGGATTTATTGGGATTGCATTTAAGGAGACAGTGGCCTAGTTGACACAAATAGAAGATAAGGTGTTAAAGCTGTGCCTGGGATATAATGCTTCATATTACCAGGGCAGGGTGGAGCTCACATGAGTGTGTGTGCCGAGGAACATCTGACTGCACGAACTTACCTACGAAACAGTACAACCCAGACACAGCCTCGTTTATGAGGTGCAGATGAGAAACAGACCAGGTGTACAAATCATAAATTTATTGGCAGAATTTCTGTCTCCCTGATTTCAACTCGATTCTTTAGTAAACAGCTGAGCCAATCTGCCTCTTTGGAAAGCCAGTTGTTTACATCATAGCACAACTGTGTGTATAGACAGACCTACGCTACAAGTTACATATATTCCAGTAAACATATTGTCTGTGCCATTCTATTGCAACTTCTTGTAACAGGGCTGGAGGTGTGGGACAGAATCCAAACCCTTTAATCAACACATAATGATATCCCCATTCTCCTAGAGGCAACAAGCACTCAAAGGGAAAAAAATCACCACCATTTTCCAGAAAGCTGACTATTTTGTCTTGGGTCAAAATGAAACACATATGATTGGAAGCATGCAAATCCTAAAGGATTAGTAAAAAAAAAAGTATGCTTGAAATTTTGCTTTCTGAATTCTAGAACTGAGTGGAGGGGCTGAAACATGTTTACCATGGCTCTTCCATTCTAACAGACATCAGATCCAGCTACCCTGGGATGAAGACATGCACAGTCTGCTGGATTAACAAAATGGGTAAAATGCATTTTGAGAACAGTGTCACAGAGAAATTATATACATATATAAAGAACAGGAGGGATAGCCACATGTCAAAGCCACTCTGCAATCAGATACTTACCTTTGCTAGGAGAATTAAGACGTGCTGCTGAAGAAGACAGTCGTTTGTTGATGACAGTCTCAGCCTGCTTGAGGTTTGCTGCTGAAGTAGACCGCTTGCTGGCTGAAAATGAAATTATTATTTGAGCCTTTCATTCTACTTCTAACTAGATATATCCCTTACTGTGACCATTCTTTTAAAAAGAAACTAGTCTCCTTTTTTCTTTTTTCATAACCCACCTAAGCGGTGTGACCACAGTGGACTATAGATTTCCTTCAAAATAAGTAAGTATTGCCCTTGGGAGACAAAGTGTTACATCTTGAAAGTGATGCTTCCACAGATTTCTTATTAAGTATCTGATGCGTAGGGGAAAAGACGCATCAGAAATTACACATTATCTGATTATCAGCATCCAAGCTAGCTTATTGCAATGCATTCTATGTGGGGCTGTTCCGGAAGAATGCTTAGACTTTACAGCTAGCATAGAACATGGTGCCTGAGTTTTATCAAAGAAGTAGATCATGTATTACAAGTTCTGTTCCAGCTTCACTAGTTTCCAGTTTGCTTTAAATCATGGTATTGAATTTCAACACCTAATCTGAAGCACTGAATGTTTCTTGTCTTTCTGCTTGACATCAAAGGCTGTGATGTAAGTTTTCTCTTGATTTATACATCACCTCATAAACCCACAGTAGAAATGGCTTGTATGCTTGAATAAATACAGTTTTTATCTGTCAACTTGATGTAAAAACGCAGAAGAAGACCAAAGGTAAGATTTCTCTTTTACCAGCTGGGTACCTCTGACTGACTTTTCAACCCATTATCTGGATGAAAATTCAGATAAATAAGGCAAAACAAGTAGTTCTAAATTCCAAATTTCAGAAAAGTTCCCTCCCCCCCCACAGTTTCAAAGAATGAGTCTCAGCTGAGACACAGACCTATTTAAACATGAACTCAACCCTCAGACAGACTTAAACGGCTAGACACCACGATGCAGGAGTAAGGTCAGCTAGAATTCTACGCAATACAGGAGTATATCATGCTTTTAATTGCTTGTATTGCAAAAAAGAAAAAAAACCCAGAATGGTGATGGCAAAGCTATTGGCTCACCAATAAATAAAACCATGCACACAAAGAGGGTAGGCAGATCTCCTTCGCATGAGATTCATTAGAGAAGTATTTTCCTGCTTAGAGCTAGCTCACAGTGAGATGACGAACCCAGCATGCAATGAGATGGGGCTTCATCTCATGTTTTAGACCACCTTCAGGAACCGTCTGGTTTGTTCCACTTTCCAGCGACCACAGGGCATACAGGCAAACCAGAGCAACACTTATCCGTGGGATATAGGAAACCAAGCTCACTTCTGCTGATCATGCTTAAATGAAGAACATTATTGTTCACTTGTAATATGAGAGAGAGAGAGAGGACTAGCTGGGCAGGTGAGTAAGTGAGCATAGAGTATTTATGGTGCACCAAAACATGCTACAAGCAGCCTCGTTTCCAACAATTACCAAAAATATATTTTAAAACTGGCTGATTGGAAGGAACATCGTTCCATGCAGGTTAGAGCCAAGCACACAAGCAATGCAGTTCTGTACCAAAGCTGAGGGTGGGGTGAGAGAATTGCCCATATTCAAATGGTAACAAAGAGCGTGATAGTGCAGGGTTGGCTAAAGTGAGAGAAAGCAAGCTGACAGACCAGTCCTTCTGGACCCACCTTCAGCTGCAGCTGACGTCTCTGTGGAAGAAAGTTTACAAACTAAAACCACCATGTAAAATTGCAAGAAACAGCGATTTTCAGAAGAAATGCATAGAGTAACCAAGAGTATCTACTCAGGGCAACTGCAGAGTACTGAACCATTTTAACTACTATGCAAATTATATTTTATTATCAATTCAGGATCTGTTGCCTTATCCACGCCTAATCAACTATCATGTACAACCATAATATTTCTGCCATAAATTTAACCAAAATGTACTTTAAAGTTTAATTGCCTTTATACATTCTAACTCTCAGGGAGCATCCTTCACACTCTTCATCTATTTTACAACCAAACTATTCTTTCTTTAAACTTGCAGGCCACGCTGGGAACATACATTTATGCAGAGTGTGAACAAAGTGAAAGCAAATCAACTGAAATAAATGATATACACTGGTTTAGTTAACTTTATTTTGAGGTCTATCGCATTACATGCCCAGGGTACGTTTTGTTTTTAAAAATACACTGATACTGTCGATGTGGACTGGCAGCAGCTTTTCCCCAGCAAGCAGAAAAGGCTACAGAATCCTACCTGCTTTCCCGTCGGAATCTGTCACAGAGCCGCCCCACGACCATCTCTTCTGCCTGGTTTCCAACCGCTGGCTCCGCTCCAAGGTACGATGAACGACAGCTTCGTAACGCTCCTGTTAATCAAACAATCTCTGGAATTAGGCTGCAGTAGCTACGATAGCTGCTAGGCAAGCCGCTCTGTGGAGAATCTTTTCCCAAAGGGAGCTGATGATCAACCCAAGGCCTGTTTTCACTTTATGTAACTAATCGCAATTCAAATGACAACGTGTGAAAACTGTGGAGGGTGATTAGTCACAATCTTGGTAATAAACAGCATTAGCTCTAATTTGCACTTGTTCAGCTATTGTGTAGCAGGAGGCCTGATGGATTAGCAAAGGCACTTCTGCTGTTTATGCAAATTCTGACATGGCCAACAGAACAGCGGCTCATCCTCTTCGAAAGGAGAAGGGGTGGGCCTGGTTGACATGTACATCTAGGGGCATTCATGTTAAAATGTGTGGCTAAAAATTCCCCAGAATCAAGGGACAGAGTTTTGAAGTGATTCTGTTCTATATAAAAACAACCCTGAATCCCCAGCACTCCTGTATGAAGTGTAAAATAACAGGAAAAATACCAAGTGGTTCAAGTATTAATCCCACTAATCACAAAGGAGCAAGGTTAACAATAAACCTCCAAGCACAATGGAATATGGGAATCAGTGCTGTAAATGATTCTAAGTTGTCACTATGAAATGCAGGATTCAGGAAATACACAATAGTTACAGAAAAAAAATCATTGAATTTTGGATGGAAAAATATATCCCTGCTGTTAATAAACTGCCAAATTCTCCTTTCGACAACACTGCCTATGGAAGACCTGCCAGAGTATGGAATCTTACAGAAAATGGTTGGTTTGTGCCCCTAACTAGGACTCTCCACTCTGCACATACATCCAGTGCATACTTATAGGAGACAAAATGATTTGATTTCTTTTTTTTTTTAATTTCAAAGGACTTCATCATAGAGACATTTCAGCTAAGCATTGCACAAACATATAAAGGAGCTGATTAAAATGTGTTGATGTAAATGTAGAATACACAGGGAGGTGCACTGATAAAAAATGTCTGATACCACAAACAACAGGAAGATACATCATAGCATTTCAAAAATTTAAAGCCTGCAAATCCAGCTAGCTATGTTGGCCTACTGCAAATTGAGTCATCCAAGCAGGGGCAAGATGGCAAGACTGTCAGGTTTGGCAAAGCAAAACAAGCTAATCTTCCAACCGCCTTCAAAACAAAGATATACTGAAGTTGGACAGTTTATGGAGCACTGTCACTGGCAATTGCTTTCAAATAATGTCAGACAATGTCTGATGTCAACAAGCACAATCCCATTAACTGACTGAGATCATCTCTCAGTTACAAGGTGCATTAAACTGAACAGTACCTTCTCTTCCTCAATCTTCTGTTTCCTCTTTTCCTCTACTGCTGCTCTTCTTTGCTGCTCTTTCAACTTCTGTTCCTTCAGTCTTCTCTGCTTCTCTTCCATCTGCTTCTCATACTGAAGTTTTGCCTTTCGCTCTTTCTCCAGGATTTGCGTTTCTTTGGCAGCTGTATGTTTCAATGACATAACAGAAGTGTGAAACGTTCCTATATGGGTCATGCAAGTGCCCTGTGCTGGATTTGCAAATAAAAATAGAAATAAAAATAAAGAGTCCAAAGAAATGCAGGACTGACGCAAGCACATCTACCAAATACAATAATATAGCCACTTAGCTCCAACAAAAGCCTAAAAGGCTTCATGGGACCGTAACCTGTCCTGCCTGCTTCCCAGCACTGGCTTCTAATTACAAGGGGAAAAAAAATCAGGGCAAGAGGAAACTCAATTGTTGCCAGTATGCACCTTCCCTGAATGTGGTCCCAAAGCCTCAAGATATTATTCAGCTCCAACAAAAAAATCAAGTGTGACAGAGGAAGTAAAACTAACGCACTGCATTGAACATTCCTTATGGGTTACTGGAAGATTTCTGCCTAACATCAACAGCCGTGTCCCTCACAGAAAGCAAGTGACATTTTTCATGGCGGAATGTCTTTATCCCATTCTTCTCTCATTTGGGGAACTGCGACTCAAATAGTGATGATTCCTCTCCGACAGCCAAATCAATGCAGAGTCTTCTGCCGCCTTAAATGATGAAAAGGCCTTATTTTCAGATGCAGAGAGGGGCTGCAGTCCCCCGAACACACAGCAAGTAAAGCCTGTTGGTCTTGAAGGTGCCACAAGATTTTCTGTCGTTCTGCAGGAACAGTTGATACTCTAACACTACTTTATTAAACATTCCTCATAAGTCGGTGTGCTTACACAACATTTATAGTTCAATCCTACGCTAGACGAGTATGCTAAGCTTAAGTCACACTAAAACAGGTTCACTGAATTCAGTGTTCCATGATCCAAAAGGCCCTGCTTTAGTTGTAACTTACTACCCTAAAGTAAGCTGCAACTAGAGTAGGCCCATTTGAATCAATCAAACTGAAGGAGTCTACTCACCAAATTGCCCACTGGGCCTACTCTAGTAAGACTTACTATGCTAAGCAACAGGATTTTAATTAAATTGCCCACTGGGCCTACTCTAGTAAAACTTACTATGCTAAGCAACAGGATTTTAATTAGCATGCTATAACCCTATTTTAGGATAAACTAAGTTCAGAAATTCATACATTTTAAATAAGACACTTATTTACATTGTGAGAAAAACACAAAATGTGTTTAAATATTTACTTATTAATACTCAGGTGTCTTGTGTACATATGCATGTAAGTAGAGAAAGAGAACATATTAATATACCCTGTTTTCCCAAAAATAAGACCTAAACAGAAAATAAGCCCTTGTATGATTTTTCAGGATGCTCGTCATAGAAGCCCTACCCCCAAAATAAGCCCCAGTTAAATGAAACCCCGCCGTCCACCATTGTGCAGCAACCAGAAGAAGATGATATGGCTGTGTTTGAATAAATGTAGATTGATGTACATGGAAAAAAAAGTCCCCTGAAAATAAGTCCTATTGCGTTTTTGGAGCAAAAATTAATATTAAGACCCTGTTTTATTTTCAGGGAAACGCGGTAGAAATAAGATGGAAAGGGTTTATGAATATATGTTTAACTGATATTCAGTAGAAAAGGACTAATACAGTTATCCATTGCTGCAAACACATAACAGAACACAAAATGGTCTTGCTGTGAATTTGCAAGCATTAATATGTCTTTCAATAATCATACCATGCTGCTTCTCTCGCTCTTCTCTACGTTCTCTAGCCAGTCTCTGTCTCTCTTCAGATCGCAAGATGGAGCCATCTATCACTGTAACGGAGGAGAAATTCAAGGTGTTTAGAATAAACACAAAGCTTTTGAAAAGCAAATTACCAATTCCCCCCACACATTTTCACCCATGACTGTCTGCACTTGGGCAAGCTGTTTTTCAACTAAGAAATGGTAGCTGGACAAATTCTGGGGACTACAGAGTAGAAGCTGACTTCCTTAAGCTCTGAGAGGCAAGACACATTCTCACCATCACACATACGACAGGAACCCTTCCTCTGTTACTTGTACTTGCACAGATGCCACAAGAGCATGTCTTTGCTGGCCTAGATAAGGGAAGCCTCCTATGCAACTCCTATATAAAATGGAGCCCTCTAAGAATGAGAATATGCAATTAAAACTCTTAGGCAGACAGAGTAGACTGTATCATTCTTAAAGAATAAGATTTAATCGATAACGGAAAGGGTTCAAGGACTCACACCAAGATCACAGGAATGGGGAATTTATTCTAAAATCAAGGATATTACCTGGCTTAGTTGATGATTTTATGCTTACTGGGGATGGGACAGGAACAGGACTAACACCACTTTGGTTTCTTCTTTCTTCTGCTAATGCCTGAGCTGCAGCAACTGCAAGGGGAAAAAACATAAGCACGGTTAAAACGAAAATCCATTAACTGAAGCTGTGCCCTAATATTTGCAGTTCCATGCTTCTTAGAAGATCTGCTGTACAATTCAAACCTGTTCTTGTTACAGAGGTAACTGCAAAACAAAGGCAAAACAGCCAGATTTTTTCCAGTTCTGGAACTCTTCTCCTGGAGCCCTAAGGAACTGCCACTTGCCTTACTCTCCAAATTAAATACTTAAGGGTACTTTTATATAGATCATGTCATGTCAGTTAAGTTTAAGCATATGCATTAGCCAGGTGTTTTGTACAGGTATTTTTGAGGAAAAGGATGATTTTCCATTATGATTCTGTGCAGCTCTGCGTGCTCCCGATTAATCAAAAGGCAGAGCAGGGAATAAATAGGGGTCTGATCTGTGCTGGGTGGGGTTACACTGCTCCTGACACTCCTCAGGCTCAAAATCTAGTGTGCTCCTAGATTCACCCGTCACTCCTGGACATTCAGGCTGGCGGTGATCAGAAGCTGATGCTCAAGCTGCACTCATTCCTGGAGATGATAATTTGCCTTAGTTACAGGTTGCCAGGTCCAAAAATTAAAGCATGTTGAAGCATCTTTAAATGATGTCTGATTTCAGAGGGGGCAAAAAGGCACCTTCACTAGTTATCAAAAAGTGTATGTTTAAGAAGCATCATGGTGGAAATCCACAGAAACAAAATCAAGCAGTCAGTTTCCTTACCACCAGTTTTAGTTTTATTTGAGCACTGTTGAATGCAAGGAAAGAAGGAATAGCATTTATCTTCTCTACGACAACTCATACTGTCATAACAATAATCCTTCTCAGGCTGCCCCCAAGAACAATCACTTAAAGTGCTTAATCACATCTGAAGGCAATGATAAATGCTGTTACAAGGCTCATTCAGCAGTTGTAAAATGTCACCTGCACCTGTCACCTTACATTGAATCACCTCCTGCAACTTCTGACAAATGTCTTCTCCAATCCTACCTAGCAACAATATGGCGGATTCTTTAGACAACGAGAACTACTGACAGGTTGCAATGCTGTTATTATGGCACGTGAGAAAATATGTTTACTGTATTGTTCAAAGTTGTACTCCCTCATTTTCTGAAATCTTACATAAACATTCTTTTTCTTAATATCCGCAAGTAACTAAGCTGGATGTTTTAAAAACTCACAAACAAACAAAAAATACCACTACAGATTTCAGGAAGCAACCATAACTCAGCAGCAAAGCACATGGTTTGAATGCAAAATATCTCATGTTCAACTCACCAGGCAAGGGTGGGAAAAACTGTTTTAGAGAGTCAACACCAGTCAACATCATCAGCATTAATATTAATTGTCTGATGAGGATCAATGCTCTGATGAAGTATAAAATATTTGAGATACATTTTAATCTCAAATTCTGTGGCATGAAGCATAAAACCCCAAAGCAAGACATGCCACTTTTAATTCCATCTGGAGGTTGTTTTATTATGTCACTGGAAGATTGGTAAGCAAGCCAAAAATAAACATATTATCATATATGGTGAAGCAGGAAGAGGGAAATTTGGGAATTTAGATGCTTCCACCCAGGATAATTCACTGTTAGGAAGAAGAAGCCGCCTAGAGTGGTCTATTAGGCCAGATAGGCGGGGTATAAATCAAATAAATAAAAAATAAATAAATAAAATAAGATGTTCTTAAGGAAGAAGGATGAGTGTTCGAGAATACATGAGTGTTCTGTTTAAAAACAAACAAACAAATATTGAACTTAAAGGAAACAATACACTACAACAATGTAGAAACGGCAGGGAAGTTCAGAAGTGAAGAAACCGCTACATTTGACATGCTGCACTGCATAAAGAAGGTACCAAAATTACAATTCTCTTCCTTCTCACTTTTTAAGAGCCTCTACAGACTGAATTCAAGCAGGACCACAATTCAGCTAGTGTCTTTGATGCATGAATGCTAAGTTACAGCAAACCATTTTTGACAGCACTAACTCTCTTAAGTAGCCATCATCTCTCAACTTATGAAAGGTTTTGATTCAGTATATTGTTTCTGGCAAATGTCGGGGTGAAATACTTACTGTCTTCTGTTTGCATAATGTTTTTTCAGCACATTAACTTAGGGCTATAACTGAGACACTTACAAAGGAAAACACAGTTCTGTAACACTAACTGTGCTATTAGCAAACAGCTATGAACTCCATTCGCTGCTTCGTCTTTGTCGGGACGCGGACAATTAATTAAGTATAGTTAAATCACAGTGAGTGAAGTCAGGCAAGTTGAATTCACTCACTGAGTTCCTTTCTGGAGGAGCAGTGTACCGGAAGATTATCTAAAGACAACAAGGGAGAGCTCACTGTAACAGTGCCAGACTGAAAACGGACCACCCTAGCCCTAAAAAAATGCTCCCTTGCAAGGTTTCAATTCATATTCTCTTTCTACCCTTATTGTCATCCTTCCAATGACCACTATTGATACAGAACATGATTCTTTTTATATTAATGTATGCAACAAAGAGATTGTGCAAAATACTCAACGTCATTACACAGTTTTAATTTACAATGCCAGCTCTTACTATTTGTACCTCCAGGGTATTGGTCTCACTCAACGCTACCTGACATGTAAGGCAGGGCATGTAGAGGACAGCAGACCTTCTAAATTGACTCTGCAACAACAGGTGCAATCATCATTCTACTCGCCTCAACAATACAGCACAGCAAGGAGGCAATATGATGTGGTACACAAGATGCTCCAAATATGACAGTTAAGAAACTACTCAGATCCTCCCAAGATTCATAATCCCTTACTGGAGCACTCATGAATGCTGCCAAAGACAAATACTGTACAACAACTAATTTAACAGAGATAAGGACCTTTCCTGAAAACAGAGATTTGATACTCTAACAATTTAAAGCCCAAACATACAACTTTTTTTTTTTTTGCTATTTTCATGGATTCTTGCACCACCCTATGCACGGTTTGGGAGTGCTCCTGGATTTGTCTCTGAGCCTGGATGCCCACGTTTCAGCAGTGGCTAGGAATGCCTTTGCACAATTAAAACTAGTGTACCAACTGCGCCCAGTCCTTGAGAGGTCCGGGCATGATGACAGATGCTTTTGTTACTTCCCAGCTGGATTACTGTAATGCACTCTATGTGGGGCTGCCTCTGGAAAATGTCAGAAAACTTCAGTGGGTCCAAAATGTGGCAGCCAGACTGCTGATTGGCGCTCGTTACAGGATCGCATAACCCCTGTTACAGCAGCTCCGCTGGCTGCCCATCCATTTCGAGAAACAATTCAAAGTGCTGGTTCTAACCTATAAAGCCCTAAATGGTTTTCGTTCAAGCTATCTCAGGGACTGCGTCTCCCATTATGAGCCTGCTTGGGTGTTAAGATCACCAGGAGAGGCTTTTCTCTCAGTTCCACCATCTTCATAGGTGCATTTAGTGGGGACCCGGGAGGGGGCCTTCCCTGTGGCTGCTCCCGGACTTCGGAACTCACTCCCACAAGAGGGCAGACTGGCCCCTATCTTTCCTGTCCTTCCACAAGCAGGCAAAGACCTTTCTCTCAGGCATGTTTTTCCTAAATGTATTGGATGCCTGAGTGGGGTTTTAACACGGATTGTTGTGCCTTACTGCTTTGAATGTGTTAGCATTGTTTTTGTTTACCATTTCTCAGAGTGGTATTTGATCCTTTTAGTATTTGTATATTTATTGTTTTTTAGCTTTAAATACTGTCTTTAATTATGCAAGCCACCTTGAGTCCTTTTTAAGGAGAAAGGTGGGGTAAAAATATTTTAAATAAAGAAATTATGCTCTTTTTCAGATTCCTTTGTTTTATTTTGCTGCCTTAGGAATTGGGAACTAGACTAGCTTCCTTTCCCTTCAACCTTATTTCTTCCTACGCGGTGGAAGCTGTTTTCCTTCTATGAATTGTTTGTCTTCAAGTGTGCAGCCATACCATTGTTGAATACATCAGGTTCGCCGCCCTGCAAATAAAAACCTTCACTGACAATAGAGCCTAGCACAGCAATTCACAACAGACTCCAGTCAAACTCTGAAATCACAACTTAAAGGCTTTCTCTTGAAACACAATGATGCCTCTATTATGTGATATGCAAGTGTATGCGTGTGTGTGTGTGTGTGTGGGGGGCAAATTGCCATTGCATTTTAACCCCAAACTCTCTTTTCTTTCATGAGCTAATTTTCATTTTTATTCTTAGCAAGTCTCCTAGTTGTGGATGTTCACACGAGCACTTTGCCCTTGATCTTCTGCAGTTTTGCCAACAACAAAGAATGCTATACACCAATGGCCTGCAAAAGCTAACAGTTAATTCCAAGCACATTAAGACAGTCAGCTTTAACAGCAAATCAGAGACCATTCACAGCAAGAATAAATTACTTGCATCTTTCCAAAATCAAATGTCATTTGGCTAAATGTATTTTTACAACTCTGAATTTTCCATGTGCAGTTATATACTGACAGATTAGCAAAAATACTTGGATATGTCATTCACCGATATAGCCTGTAGCCAGATACAGCTGCAATATCTAAGGACACAATATAATTCACCAGTTGCAGAGCAATTTCTACACTACAGAATCAAGAAATAAATAATAACTTTCTCCAGCACAAATGCTAATGCAATATAAACAGCAACTTCAACTGCACCTCTGAAATTATGGCAATGATTTTCTGATTAATAACAGGAACGGAGGAATCTGTTTTACACTGAATGAGACAATGAGTCTGTCTAGCCTATTACTACTGCACAATATCCAAGCAATATTCTTTCCCCAAACCTATCTGAAGATGCTGGGGATTGTAATTGGGTCCTTGCTCAATACAAGAATGTCACCGAGCTACAGCTTCTCCAGTAACAATACGGGATCATACCGACTCATACATATTGCATTACTGCAACTTTTTAAAAGCAAACATAAAGAGGAATTTAGTATAAAAGTACCAAAATAAAAGGGGAGGGGGAAGAGCAACACACTTCCCAGTTTTCCATTACATTAGGAAATGCACAGTTCTTAAGATTTCTCGTTGAATATGCCATACTATTCTTGCTTGCTTGCACTGAATTGTATGATTACAGCATGATGTCATGCCACAAAATATTTGACATGTAAAACATCTTTTCCTCCTTGCCAGTTTTACTGATGCCCATAGATTTAGGTGCCTCAACTGTAGAGTGCATCTGTCAATTTCACTTTGTTTCTCGGGGGGGGGGAGAGGGAGAAAAAGAGAGAGGGAAAGTGAGAGAGAAGGCAGAGATTAGCACTAGAATAATCTATAAATATAATCTATAAATTTGAAAGAATGTACAATACAATACCAACTAGCTCACATTACTGCTTGTTCTTCAAGGATTGCAGACTGGCTGTGTGAAGCTGCAGAAAAACTAATGCAGAGGTGGTATTTCTGTCAGGATATTTCACAAGCACTGTGAGCACTTTTTTTAAATGAGAGAAGGAAGACTCACAAGCATATACACCTTGAAGATCAGAAAATAATTATTTTCTAGATTACAATAGATGATCCAGTATTTTGTAAACAACAGGCCATGGTAGTTACATTTTGTCATAATTATTGCTCAAACTTTTGGTGACTTTTATGCTCCTGTACTTGAAATCCAGGTCTTGATTTCATCTGATCCGTATAGGCTAACGTGAAACAACTCAAGCTTATTCTGATAAGTTAACAGACCCACTAAACTAAACACTGTGGAAGTTAAACATGAGTATCAATGGTAACTTCACATGGATTTCCAAATATATTAACAACTCATCACAAGTTTTCATGTAACACATGGGGCTTGTGTGTAGATCTTCCAATACCCCCCCCCCGGTAAAAACTATTTGCAACGTTTGACAATCAGGATTGGGGACCCGGTGAAAGGCTTAACTCTTCCTACTGTATCATAGCTCCCACCCAAATCAATCACTCCATATGCCCTCTAATGAGATATAAAATCTGACAAAATCTAGTCAGGGGTTTTCTGTATCACACACATTATTTGCTTAGGACTCATTAGAACCAGTAAAGCATCTAATTTCACAAGGATGGGGTCACAACAAGATTTGCTATCATCAGCTAAAGAGCCCAGCCAAGTCATGTACCAGGATTCAAGGTAATATATCAAGAAAACAAAACTGAGGCAAAAAGTGCCAGAAAATCAATGGGGAGTCTAACTTGTCAAAAAAGGGTGAAAGCAGAAGGAAACAAAATGCATGTAAGCATAAAAATCTGAAGCAGTCTAAACCTTTCTCCAACAATGAAGAGATTACTTCTGAGGGTTGTTAAAACACAAGTGATTAACTAAACCCCAGCACGATGCTGCAGATTTCTAAGGAAACCAAACCTTGGAGAGAGGAAACAGTCCAGAGAGATCCACAGAGTCAAGGTTGTAAAGGCTGGGAGGAGAGGGGTGTGTGTATATATGGATTGTCCATTAGGCTCCCTAACTGCAATAAGACAAGAAATAAATAGGTAACACAGCCTCCCATTTCAAGTGCAAGACGCTTTTCAGTGTTTTTTTTTTGGTAGGGATGGCAGCTGGGAAGAAAGGGAGCGATTTAAGGATTTAGAAAAATTACGAAAAGTGTTATAAGGAAGGATGCAAAATCTGTTTGAATCCACAGGAAAAACAGAGCGGCTTGGGAAGCTGGAGATACAAGAAGGGCAAAAATAAGTGGTAGTGAATGGATTTCAATTGTGAAACCACTTGAAACAGGACTATGACAAAATGAGGGAGGGACAGGAAATCAGGGCGAGAACACAAGCAGAAGGCCACTGTATCAGCGCCGGTGGTTAGAGAAGAGGAGCTTGGTGTCAGGGGAAAAAAAAGAAGAAAATATTGGTGGAGAATCCAAAACAAATAAAGGACTCACAAAAAAGGGGGGGGGACACATTAAAGTCGGGGCAGAAGTCCTTAGAAGACTGGGAGGGTGATAAAGGAGGGTGGAAAGAAGAGAAGGAAACGTCTGGGAGCCGGATAATAACAACAAGGGGAGATGGTTCTGTGCATTTAGGTTTGAATCCAAAGCTGTTCCAGGTCCTTAAGGTGATAAAAAAAGGACCAAATGGGGTGTACAATATTGGGGGGGGGAGAAGAGAGAAGCGAGAAGAAGAGTCCCTATGTCACCGAAAGCCTTGCCTTGGGTCCTTCTAAGTAAAAAAAAACCTTTCAAAGAACTGAATAAATAGTACGTTAAGAGTCAGCAAGATGTGTAATAGCCAAAATTGGGATATTTTTTGGGGGGTGGATATAAGATAAAGGT